GCTGCTGAAGTGGTTAAGGGGAGGGGTTAAGAGACTGGCTAACATGGAATCACTGAAGGGGAGGAAGCAACAGAAAGCATCCCCATCCCCTCCCAATACACTTTGGAGTATTTATCCATTTGTTCTGTAGTGGGTGGAGTTAGTCTGGACAGATTTGTGTACATAGTAGCAATAAGCATCCTGCTCTGATCAGCTCCTAGTGTCATTCTGGTTCCTTGCACCTGATATTATCAGTGGAAGGAATCTCAGCTGTGACATCATAGCCAATTCACGTTATTCCTCCCTCTGGAATGAAGTTCCCCCTGAGATCGGAATGGACCCCACTCTGCTGTTGTTCACAAGTTTGGTGAAAACCTGGCTCTTTACCCAGGCCTCTGGCAAGGGAGTGAGATCCCTCACTTCATTCCATCTGGTCTGTTGTGTTTTCCATGTTATTTTTTGTTTTTGTTTTTTTATTGTAACCTCTTTGATTGTTGAGAGCTGCCCAGAGTCATTGGAGTTGGGCAGCATGCAAGTTTAATAAATTATGGTTGGTCTCACATAATCAATCTGTTCATTACAAATGTTTAAAAACCACATAGAAATTCAGATTAAATTTGTTCTGAGATACAGTGAACCCTCAGTTTTGTGTATATAGGAATTTGATACCTATTGTATTGGTTAAGTGGTATAGTTGAAAAGGTAGAAAATCTGAATGCTAAATATGCAAGAGGAAAATCTCCTCTGCTTAAATATTAATAAACTGCATAATGTCCCTTTTAAGAACCAATCATACACCTTTCCTGTCCTTATGAGTAGTCGTGATAAACAGGCATTTCAAATCCTTAGTTTCATAACATGGTAAGGAAGGAAATCAATTAAATAACCCTTTAATAAAGTAGATATGGTTCCCAGCTCCTTTCTATAGAGTCAAATAAAAATGTGCAAAAACATTGCACATTCCTAAATGTGTTAATTCTTAAATGTTTACATTCTGTAGGGAAAAAAACAGTAAATAAAATAAAAATTATACTCAAAGTAGAAGATACATGTTCATCAGCTTAAAACAAAGTAAGATGGTTGAAAGAAGATAATTTTCAGAACAATTCAATCATGGTGAATTTTTTTGTACACATGCATTTTTTGTTTACATTTTTATAATATAACCTTTTATCCTTAAGCTCAGAATTTTCACTTAAGTTCCATTTTGTTCTGGAGAAAAAATGGCCCAGGTGGGAGAAAATGGAGATAGTACCAGGGAGAAAATAGTTTTGCTTCATTTTATTTTATTTGCTTGGTTACCTAAAAATAGATGTTAGAATACCTTCATTAATTAAATCCAAGGGAATTTACTTGCTAAATACCTTAGTTTTGCATAGTGTGTTTAATTGAAAGCCACTATTCCTGCCAATAAAGATAGAGATTTTAACTTCTGAATTAGCCAGTCTTCCCATATTATCTCAAGACACTTGAGAAATACTATTACCTCTGCCCTGGGTTTCAGAGTTTATGGTAGCACAAAGCAGGAGCTGCTATCCAAAACCTGATATTTTTCCTAAGGACATTGTAATTGGCAAACATTTTTGTCTTTTTTATTCTTTGATTAGGATATTTAGAAATAATGTGCCAGTCCCTCTGTTAGACTTCAGTAGCTAGGAGGTGGGCAAAGTAAACTTATTAATCTATTTAAACATTAAAACTTGTCTGAGCCAATTTTCTCCATTGTTTGTGAGCAGGTTGTGTTAATTCTGTAGCTCATAACTTATGAATTCTGAGTACAAGTTTACCTTTTTTAAAAAAAAAACCTCCATGAATTGGTGAAAGAGTAGTAGCTACTCCCCTCTAAGCAGCAAAATGAATCAGGCATAAATTTGCTGTGTGGATGCTACCTTTTATTTAAATTCCTTTTAGACTCACTCCTAACTATATGTATGTGTACATTCAAGGGAACAGAAGTTATGGCTAAGACCATAAATCTTCCTCACAGCCACAATAAATTAAAACCAAACGTCTCCAGGGTACTTAAAATTGCATCTCTGCACTTAATACTCCAATCACCTGTAAGAAATATGCTCAAAAGGAAGGATGTGTGAAATCTGGCAGAATTTATTCTCCAGCCTGATTATCAGGCTTTACAATAGATTAATTTTTATTATTGGAATTGCTGCTCAAGTATGTTTGCTGACCTTTCTCTTTTTGGGCCACAATGCTGCATATCAATACCAATTTATTGGCTTCCAGATTAAGTTATAATATTACAAAACAAAGGGCCTGGGTCTCGTCATTTAATGGAGTCCTCTATTTATACAGTGTAAATATTTATTCCACGTGGGTGAGGGATAAAAATTAAAAAGGGACCTACAGACTTAAGTTAAGCCCCATTTTCTGCTGACTTGAATCAGAGGCCAAGGGAAATATCAAGTACCTCATTTGTGGACATATACATATACCTCTACTCTTTCAGAACATGTTACTCTTCAATATATTGGCATGATAGAAGTCACCAATTTAGTCAGCTAGTAAATCTAAATAAGAGTTCCACTGTGCAAACAAATCTTAGATTTTTGAATGTGACATTTTCACAATCTGCTTAAAAGGTGCCTGGGTAGACATTCTTCTTTTTAAAATATAAGAAGTGAGAAAACTGTTCTACACATTTCCAAGTAAGTATGTGGGTTGCAGACACTTCAGTCTGTCTGTCAAAACTTGTTTATTTCATATTCTGATCACTAGGATTGCCTGTTGAGATAATGATGGCTCAGAGTGTGTTGGATAAGAAAGCAAAGGTACTTTTTCAAGAGGCAACTGGACTTTCTTGTCTTTCTTTGAAGACGTTTGACTTCTCATCCAAGAAACTTCTGGATGGTGGGGAATGGAATGGAAGGATTTATATTCTTTGCAGACAGCTGGTCATTTGCATTCTTTTAGAGTCAATGAGGCCACTTGGAAGTTATCTGTGTCCTCAGGATCACCTAAGTAGGGCAAATGGGTGTGGAGCCTTCTTGGAACTCCTGAAAGAACTGTGTTGTAGAACTGTTTAATTTTAACATAGATGGCCTCTTTGACATCTTTCAAACCAAAATGTGGACTTTGCTGTCTCCAAAAGATTGGCCTGGGGTTCTGGAAAGTGTTTGCTATTTCAGTGTATTCAGGTACTCCAGAGAACAAATGTTTTATTAAACTGTAATTACCCATCTTATGATATGTTACATTTTATTTTCTATTTTTTATTATTTATATGTTATTTATTAATTATAAATTAATAAATGAAATAAATTCATCCATCCGTCAGTTTTTGTTTTATAATATTAATTCCTACATTTCATTTGTTTACATATCTTAAATTAGCCTTCAGACCACTAGTAATCATTGCTTGTGTAGCAGTAACCACAGTATTCAGATTCCTGCTTCTGAAGAAGTAACGTTAATGTATACATAATGATGGATAATTTTTCTTGGTTTACAAATTCTATGGTTTTTTTATTTTAAAAAAGTTTTGGGCCTCCAAGACATACATTGAGTATGGTGATAATTAAATAAAATCATTGAAGACAGCTTGGTCAGAAATATCTCCCAGCCTTTGCTCTTTTTTATTTATGAAAGAAAACATGTGCATTACCTCCACTAGCATGTCACACTGCTTTTGAATTCTGCATAAAAAGTGAAACACAGTCATTTCATTACTGAATGTGGATTATGCAATGAGGGACAAGTCCCATCCCCTTTGTGTTGGAAGCATCATTCAAGGTGTTTTCGCATTGAAAGGATTAGCTGGTGACATCATTACCTAGGGGACATCCATGGGGGTTTCTTTCATGTCCTGGTCAAAGAGATAGGGTGAATGACCAGAGCTCACCTCACCACACCCCATCACTTGGGGCTCGAATGTGGACTTACTAACCTCCAACCCAGAGACCTAATGACATGAGCCACCACACTTCAAGGGACAGATTGATGGTATAGATTTTATGCAATCCAGAACTGTATAAGATCCTCAGGCTATGGACTGACAAAAGAAAGTATCTTAACTCATTTTCCATCTGCTTCAATACTCGAACTGCTCATCTTATTGAAATACAGCATTTTGGATTCTTCTACTGTAATAATTTTTGTCCCATGGTTCTTTTTAGGAAATCTAACACTTTCCATAGCCAGTAATTTCCATTTTCTATGCCTCTACATATCATCTTAATATGAGTGAAAAAGGGAACAGCCTGATCATATTTGGAGTTATGGCTGGGTTACATGGGAGATATTTGGCTGAATAGGGAAAACAGAAAACGAGAAAAATATGCACACAGAACATATTCTCATACATTGAAGAAATTTCCTGAAGTAAACATGTAAGCTCATGGTACAGCCACCTGAATTCTAAACTGGTCAGAACTAGTTCCCTATCTGCAAAAAAATTTCAAGCCAGACTATTTCATTTTTGAAACCTTTGCATATTTCTAAACATGTTTAGTTTGGGTGAGTGGTGATGAGCTGCTGAGGTTGAGAACTGTTGTTCTGTGTAAATAAGTTTATATTTTAAAATTAGTTATACTATTTATGTTTGTAACATAAACAAATTAATATTATATGATGCTCTTGTGAGGTAACTGCACAGAATATTTTATTTACAGAGTTTAACATTGGTGATACATAAATATTCAACAGCACATTTAATTTAAAAGAAATATGTTTTAGTACAAAAGCACAAAATAAATACATTAAAAAATATTGTTCCATCTTCTTTTAAAGGAATGTTTAGCATGTACCCAGACTAAGAAATAGATGAATACAATATAATTTTCTTTAACAGTTATAAAGATACCATTTGACATTATCATGCTTCTATAAAGTTAAAAAAAAAAACCTACCATGAATTTTGGTAGGAGTCACATATAACTAGTTTTTTAACCAAAATTACAATCAGTGGGCAATAAAGTATTATAATTCTCCCATGATTATCTGTTTTCCTTAAAATGGACCTACACAGTACAATTGGAATATAAGGCAATAAGAATAATTGTGCCTGGCTAGTACTTGAATGGAAAATTCACCAGAGACCCTAGAACTATAGGCTGGTAAAAAAAACAACAACAAGTTTCTGGAAGAAGATAATGGCAAACACTTTTTGTGCTATTGCCAAGACAACTGCATGGACGTGTCCATATAGTAATAAGAAATCACGATTGACTGAGGATGAGTTTTATTAATGCAAAAGATGTTTACATTTTTAGTTCAAAAATAAAGCAGTAAGAATTTGCTGAGATGTATTTTTCACCAGCAGTTAGTTATATCAGAATCCATATGGTTTAGTGAACTTTTCTAATCTTTATTAAATTATGGAATTTCATCCTCAGACTAAAGGTTTTTTTAATATATCAAATAATGAACATAATGTGGTACAGCAAGAATCAATATAAATTATCCTAGCTGCCATGTCTGTATCTGTTGTATTACATCAGTAGCATGATAGCTTGAATTTCTAAAACTTTCATTATTTGTTTGGGAAATTTTCCTTTAGCCAATAAATGTCATCATTGGGGAGGAAAGCTCATGGGGAGTGTTAGTTGATAGTATGAAATGTACCATATGAATAGATAAAGTATTAGCATCTTGGAAGAAGATGGGACTGGAGGACTTACTAATAAATTAAAAACATCTGGTTGCTAGTGTCTACAGCCCGTTTCTCATACATTAATCTGTCTATCTGTCTGTCTACTGTTATTCTAACAATCATACTATTTTATTTTGTGGCCCAAAAACAGGGACAAATTATCATTCATAATGAATATGCATAATGTACAAATGCCATTTTCTAACTCTGGTGAGTACAGTCTTAACAGGAAGAACTGAACGATCATTTGTACAGACTTACTTTCTGTTGCATTATTCAGGTTGTAACATTCTTGCTTTGTGGATTTCCAGCCAGCTGAATCAGTACTCAGGACAAGGAACCATGAAGCACAACTTATCCTAGATCATAGCTGTAGTGTGCCATACAGATCTATCAACTAGCACCATTGTTGGGAGAAAGAAGGAAAACAATCTGCTCTTCTTTCTTTAATGTACACTAATATTAGTAGCAGAAGGAAAGGGTGCCCAAGCTGGATATGTATGGAGTTTAAACAGTGGCTGTGCCCATGTCATAATAGCGAGCATCACAACAGCAACTCCAATGATGTTTATACCCAGTCCAGCTTTTACCTAAAGAAGGAAAATATATACAGATATATATATATTGAAAAAATGGAAAGTTAACAGAAAGACCAACTTTTCTAGAACAAACTTGCAAAAATTAAATGATATAATAATGATTAAAAACTATTATGTATGCATGGATAGCAGTAAATTTTAAATAGAATAGTCAATAGAATACTGCTCACTATTTCCTCAGATTAATTTCTAAACACTTATTTTCTCATTTTTAGATTTCATTGCTAGAAGTTATGATGTGGATGACTAGATGAAAACTGAGGTGGTATATTTTAATAGTTTGACTTGAACTAGAGAGAGGTTTGTTGCCTGTACATTGATAATACTGCATTTCAGACCTTTGAATGAGCACCACTGGGCTTCCTGTAGAGGCAGGATAAGGGGAGGAAGGATGGAGCACTATGGATCATTTTGCAATGTATACTGTGTGATTGTATAGAAATAAAATGATTGTAACAAACTGTCGCAATGTTCCAACCCACTCAACCTCTCCAGAAAAATCCCTTGGCTTGTCTTTTCAGATATTGCTGAAAAATTCCTGTTAATCCACATAGTCTGATTGAAAGTATCATGTAAACAACCAAACCTATTTCAGTTTTTTCTGTAAACTTGAAACCACACTAAGTAGTTCCAGAAGATTAGATTCTTCCGAGGTAACATCTATAGATGGTTGTTCTTTTTTAGAAAAGAATATTTGCAACTGGGTAGAAATTATCTAAAATCTGAGGCTCCAGGGGAGTGACTTTCCAAGAGAGGTCACAGCACAATCTCTTTAAAAGTCTGCCTCTAAATATCATACATGAAGAGTTTTCAACTCGTTTACGTAACTCCCACCTACTAGAGCTTACCAGACATCATAAGTAGTGGTTTAGAGAACAGATGAATTACCTCATTCCTATAAATGCTTTGTCCACTTCCTCAGATTTCAAAAGCTAAATCACAGACTATGACAAGTTCTGCACAACCTATGGTGTCTAACTTGCAGCAGATTGAAAGGACTTCATATTCAAACTTTATCATAAATCTGTTATGTGTTACTGAAGAGAAGCTGAGTCTGTTCCCTGAACTAAGTTTGAGCAACCTGCCTGTTATTACAAAAGTTCTGTTATGTGCTTCATGGCAGATCTAAGAATGATGATAATGATGATTTGTTGCATTCCAAAAAACTGGGCAGATTGCAACATCAAATATAAAATTTAAAACAATTAAAAACATATCACACAGCATAACAGCCTGGAAAAAAGAACCATAACAGTACACACATCTGAGAGGGGCTCCACTAGCACATTAAACCCAGGTCTAAAGAGCCCTCTGAACTCTAAGAGGATGGATGTCATATGTATCTCTGGGGATAGGTGTTCCAGAAGGTAGTGGCTGCAAAACAGAAGGCACACTTCTTTGGTTCCTTAAGGTTACAGCATTTAATTGAGGGGACCTGGAGCACAACCACTGTGCCTGAATATACCGGGCAGGCAGAAATTATCAGAGACAGGCGGTCTCACAGATAATATATGAAGAGCTTTCTAGGTGACAACTTTAATTGCAGCTGGAAGCCAACTGATAGCTAGTTCAGTTCATGTACTAGTAATATCACATGGGAGAAATAAGAACTGTCTGTTATGGCACAGCCCATTTCACTGTATAGCTTCTGGATGGTCTTCAAGGGCAGCTCACCTAGCGATACATTGCAATAATTCACCACAGTCAATTGCATCAAAGGCCGCTAACAGATGACATAGCACAAGGATGATGCACCACTACATCCAATCTCTGTCAAAGGTCATAGACAAATGAAAACCTGACTGAAACTGTCCGGATAATCTATGTCCTCTAAGATTCTCTGTAGCTGCCATCTAACCACCTTTTCCACAACCTTCCTCACAATATTGGAATATTGGAAACTGGATGATAATTGTGAAGGATATGGGGGGCAGTGATGGCCTCTTGAGAATTAAAGTTTCTTTGATGCCATCACCATCAATACGTATAATAGATACCATTATTCTTTCTCATGTATTCTCATTATTGTTAACAATGATAACATTTGAAAAAAGTTCACAAATTATTCTTTTCTTACTGTTAACTTACCATATCCATAACTTTCAGGTGACCATAAGAAAATACAATCGCATTAGGTGGATTTGCTACTGGTAGCAAAAATGCAAATGATGTACAGAGGGTGGTTGGTATCAAGATATAAAGAGGGTTAACTTGGATGGCTTCAGCCTATTAGACAAGGAGATGCCAAGAGAAATTCAAGATTATTAGTTAATATTTGCTCACTTGAAGGACACATTTGATCTGAAATTGGAGTCCTATAAATGTATTGAACTACAATTCCTATCATCTCCAAAATGAACCTGCTAATGAGGATGATGAAAACTGTAATCCAGCACATCTGGGAAGCACAGGAAAGATTAAAATCCAAGAAATAATATTACTACTGTAATTATTAAATGAAAATTTAAATGATACATCCCACTTAAAATAGATCATTATCAAATCTTTACAACCATTATTGCTTATATTGTTTATATTAATCTTCCACATGGAGGATTGTGACTTGGAATGTAAAATCTATAAATTATAACGTCTTACTTTTTTCTGTACTTTATATAATATTGCTTAACCTAAAAGGGAATCTTATGGGTTTCTAGCTATGAAGATTGATAATTCCTTAATCAAAATATCTATGATAGGCCTACAATTTTGTGATATGTATTAGCTATTTGCATAATATAGAATGCTTCCATTTTCTTATATAAGTACATTCTCTATTACAAATGTGAAGTAATTTAATCATAACTATAAGGAAAATGCATTTACAGTAAACTCGGGTTGATCTTAGCTGACCTCAGAAACTAAGCACAGTCAAAGCTACTTAATAATTGGATGGATAATAATGCAAAAATCTCAGTGCTATTGACTGTCATCGGAATTATAGAACTTTAGATATATTATGACAAAACTACATAAAGATACTAAGGACAGAAATATCTCTAGATGTAGAATATTGTACACCACCTAGATTCACTATTAGTGAGTTGGGCAGCCATATACATTTGTTTAATAAATAAATATAATGAATAATGTAAATACTCTTTTAAGATGCGACCTTAATGAATCTCTAAATATCATAGAAGCAAAAACATCAAGCTTCAATTATGCCTTTGCTTAGGAGTCAAATAAATAAACATTGATTACTTTTCTTTCTGAACTTATTATAGCTCACAAAATGAACAAAGAAAAATTCTATTATGAATTATTCACAATACTTTACTCTTGTAATCTTGAATTAAGTAATCTTATATACCTAAGCATTCTCTGTTTCTCCATTTGCTGCCATTAGTTCATATTGCAAAACTCCTGTTTTAAATCCAACCATTTAGTGATCTTTAACTGCTATGACTGTAGATCAGTTGTTTCAAACCTAAATCAGATTACTTACCAAGGGGGCTAAGATAGGCAAAAATATAGTGATTGTAGCAGGATTGCTGGCTACTTCAGTTACTGTGGTCACGATCAAAGATGAAATGAGAATTATTACCCAAATGGGTAGTGATCCTAACGGGGTTAATTTGTTTCCAATCCAGGATGAGAGTTTTGAGTCCTGGGAAAAACAATAATTGCTTAGTTATCCATAAATTTAATTAAACAATTTGTGTAAATGTAATATTAATCAAATAACTTCTTAATCCAAAAGATCAATATGGAAATGGAACTGAGATGAGACCCATTCATACAATATTATTTGCTTTCCTTCTAGCAAAATATATTTATACCACATAGAGTGCTCAGCCTGAACAAGTTGATATATTTTAGTCACATTTGTATAGATAATCACAGAAGCTTAGATGCCAGGTCTGACAAGTTGCATCCATATCTGTTTTATTTCAGAGATTCTTGATGTGTGTGGATGGCCCTTTAATATGTTGATGAGTGTGAAAATGCTCAAGTGAATATTAGCTTGAGCCAAGTTTTACAAATAGTAAAATAATAATTGGAGGATTATAGAACAATTCTAATAATATACTCGTATCACTGGGAAAATATTCAAGGTAAGTATGTTTGGGGTTATCTCTTAGCTTCAAAGAACAGCTTAGGTTTAAGTCCTCTATTTTTTAACCTTAGCCATGTATAGTGTAAATGGGCCCACGTGAAGAATACAATTATCTGTATGTTCCAGCATTAATGCATACTTAGAATAGATCTAGTTTAAACAAATAATTCTCTGACAATTGCACACAGCTTATACCTCTATCTAAATGTTACAGCGTTTCTTTTCTGTCATGGTAGTATAAACCAGCATTCCCCCTTGAGATTTGAATGATTTT